TCTCTCTCTCTCTCTCTCTCTCTCTCTCTCTCTCTCTCTCTCTCTCTCTCTCTCTGTCTCTCACACACACACAACATGATGTTTTCAAACGTCATGGACTGCTGATCGACTAATTCCACCACAGGTAAAAAATTTCGTAGAATATCTGGTGAAAACGATAACGATGGTAATGGGGCAGTTCTTGTGGAAGTGACGGAGATGAAAGGAAGGGGAGAAAGGAGGATTAGGACTATGATGGAGGAGGAAAACATGAAGATGGTAATCAGGACGAGAGAGGACCTGCCAATAACCAGTGGGAGTATTGGCGACGAAAGTCGTGGTAGTATTTGCAGTGACGACGATGAAGAAAGAAATCCGAAACGAACGCGCGTCCAAAGCAGTCATGGTGTCTTTATCCGGAGGCAGCGTAGACCCCCTCATGATGCTTCCTCACATGGTTCCAGATTGTGGCCTTTTTGAAGCATTTGTGTTTTCGGCCGCACTGAGATTGTCGTCTTTTCATTGGTCAGCCGGTTAGCGCAGTTGATGCTAATTAAGAAAACACACACACACACACAGTCCTCTATCGTGGTTACCGTACTTTGAAGAGACTGGCATCTACCCGAAGGCCCTGCCGGTACGTTGACGTTTGAGGCACGCGCGTTTCTCCCGTCACTTTCCGTACGCCCCGCTAGATTTCCTCTCAGTCGAGGCCGTCCCCTACCAAAATACCTCTGATAAAGTCCTTTCCCCGCCGCCGCTGTCAACAAAAAAGGAAAACGACAAATCGGCAGTTCGCCTCAAGAGCCTCCTCCAGGGGGAAACCCTGAGCTACGGGGGCGTCAGCGACAGCGGCGACACCGACGCCGAGGGAACCCGCAAAGGCAGCCACACCCAGGAACAGCCGCCGCAGCCGGAGGTATGGAAGGGCAGGGCTTGGAACTCGGGCACCCTCCTGGTCCGCCCCGGCGGCGAAGACAGGCCGTCGGGACGGGTGCCGCGGACGACCTACATCTACCTCGTGGGGACCGCCGCGAGGGTGCGCGGGCTCGAGGTTGAGGTGCTCGTCGGTGAGCCCGGCGGCGGCGGCGGCGGCGGGCGGCGCACGATCCTGTCGAGGGCCACCGGAGTGATGCGCGCCTGCGTGCCCGAGCGGAAGGTGTACACCGTGAGGAACCTGTCGGTTGAAGGCAAAACGGCGGTGCTCTACTGGACGGCCCCCAATGGGAACCTCGACGTTTGGGTGGGTTACGAAACGTGAATATCATGTAGCTCGCTGTCTTCCGGTGCGCAGTGCGCTCCTTCTCTCACTCTCTTCTCTCTCTCTCTCTCTCTCTCTCTCTCTCTCTCTGTTGTGCTGGAGACACGCAGCGAGAAAATGTCGCCGGGAGCAACGCAGGGGCGGTTCACAAGCCACCAGTGCTTTCTTGCGATCCCGTCCTCCAGCACTTTCACGCACAGTCACGTGGATCATGAATGTGTGATGTGTTCGGTACGGTTCCATTTTTTGTGATTCTTTTCCCTACCCGCCCGTTGCCACACCAAACGGTGCCTGTTCGTTTCCGCGCGGTTCGACGTGTGTACATTGTTGCATCACCACACGGAAACGGCCCCCGACAACGAAACGGTGGCCATACGGGCGGTGGTACAATAACTTCCACAACAACCGCAGTACGCGCAGCCTACGCAGGGTGCGTTGACGGACGGGAGCGAAGAGGTGAAACAGGAGATGCTACATGCGCTACGCCGTCCGCCCGCAAAGGCAATCAAGAGTCGTGTGAAAACATCAGCCCCGGCGAAGAACCAACCCATGGTCGACAGAGCGTATGGCAGGGAATGACCTCATGCTTACTTATAGTTCAGTGGACGGATGGTTGTGGTTGCTTTGTCTTGGCATTCAGAATCGTTCCACATCTTCATCCAGCGTCTCCATCCAGAACTCCATTCTTCATCGCTTTTCATGCGCAGACGGAATTCCGTTGGCACAAGTCCACTCGGCTGAAGGCGCACGAAAAGGTTGGAATTCCTAGATCACAATCCAGCGAACAAATAGTTGGGATATGAATAACACAAGTTGTGTTCCCTTCGTTCCAATTTTTGATAGGTATATTTAGTTTTTCAATGAACGTACCTGCGATGTACGAGGCGAAGTTCGGTATGATTTTTTTTTGCCGGTAATTGACGGGATGTGCTCTCTCTCGGTAGGGTACTTCTAAGACGTACCAGATTAAGGCGAGGCAAACCTTTGGGTCTGTGGGGATATTGTTGGCCCGGGGTATGGTGGTGCGTCGTGTTTTGCCGCACACTTTTCTGAGGTTTCGCATGGGCATCGATTTCGCGGCTGTACTGTCGGGTCTGAAGTTGTTCTTGTGTCTTTTGGTTCGCTCGTGTTCCGTAGGAGCGACAAGTGTGTGATCAAGGCTTTCCGTCACGGAATGGAAACCGAACATCGCTTGTTTGATATTTTTCTTCAGAGTTCCCTACAGTCTACATGTTGTGGATCCAATTGAGATGATTATGCTTAGAGCGCAGAAAACCGCCATGGTACCGACGTCTTCCGCTATCTTTGTCTCGTGAATGAGGTTGGGTTGGAACAACGGAAGCCTCTCCACTGCTACTATATCCTCCGGCCAATTCTTGATTGAGCAGCGGAGCAGCTGCTGAAGGTGTTCAACGAGCTTGTTACTGGCTGTTGTTGTTGCCGATGTTGTTGTACTGTTGTTCACGTTGTTGTCAGTTGCTGTTGTGAAGTTGTTGTTGTTGCTGTTGTTGTTGCTGATACCCTTATATTCTAGTCGTGGCACAAGTATTTTTCGTTGTATGTTTATGCATTTATGCAATTGCGGTTGTTGTTGTTGTGATGCATAAGTACCTTGCGGCATGTACATATGAGGTTAAGTGTGCGAGAGGGTGCAATGGGACAATGAGCCTACGAAGTTGTTGTTTCGACGCAACCCGTTGTCTTTGAGAGCGGCGTAGGTCAGTTCTAGGGTCACAGACGCGCGGTCGGGCCGCTGATGACGAGTGTTCAGTTTTGACATGGGACGCAGGGGCTGCACAACCCGCTGCGTAGAGGGGCATTCGTGGTTGAATGCTGGCGCGCCGAAGCGGTGTTGGCCCTATGTGCTGGTATTGGAAATGTGTTTGCTTCCCCGATCGAAAAATGCGCGTTCGCCGAACGGCAGGAATGATTCCACTTTGCCCCGTGCCTGTGCAGGTTTGAATGTTTAAAGTGGGTAGAAAGCTATTTGGGTGTCTTGCAGTCGTGCCGACGAGATTTTTGTTCACCCTGAACACTTTTCGAAAAGGAGCAAAGAACACCGGTCGAGAGCCACAGCTGTGGACGAAAGCATTACCCAACCTTTTCGTGGAGGTGTGCATGGAGCACGGACGGGTCATCAGGCGGCCGGGGCGTGGGACAGTTCTCTCTGCCTATCCTCAGGCACCCGTAGGCTTGAAGGACTTCTTCGCCTGACAACAATAGGAGACCCACGCCTTGTATGTAGCGTAGCATCGGTGTGTGCTCCGGTACCGTGGCCAGTCGCACAGTAGTTTTGTCGCCGCCAACAATCAGTCGTAGTGTACGGGGACGGGTAGTCATGTATTTTTGCTGAGTAGGGGGTCAGCGCTATTTTTTTTTTGAACGCGGGGATCGCACCACGTACTTCTGTGCGAGGGCGCCGTGATCAAATGCAGATGGTTTTGTCTTTCGGGAATTGAAATCGCGAGTTTGATTGCGCGCGACACAAGAATGAGATTTGAGAATTTGGCAAAAGCCTTGCTCCTACGGTGGAAGCATATCAACTGCAGAAGGAATGCCACTCACGTGCTTCGTTCGGAGATGATTAAGATCGGTGGGCAAGGACCATCAGATGGCTTGGAACGTAACGCCGCGGTTTGAACAACCATGGTGGCCATAATTTGCACGTTCCAAGGCTTCAATTCATGCTCGTGAGTTGTATAGACGGGGCGGCGTTGAAGAAGATCCAACATAGCTTAGTTGTGTCTTTGGGGTGCGCTGACCTTTGGTCACGTGGTATGGCACCCGACCCCCACAGTTGATGCACATCTTGATGTTTTGGAGATATGTTTTGTCGTACTGTAGGATTCTTGGAGAACACAGCAGATTAAAACTGCTCCGCAACGTGTGTAGGATCTAGCGACAGGGGATCCATCCCATTGCAAGGAAGGGCTCGTGTGCGGTGATTGTTCGGCAGGGCATTGGTCGGACAGAGGATGCTCGGAACTTTAGCGAGACAAGATTGGTTTTGGTTTCTGTGAGGATATGCCAATAGACGGATGGAAAACCGCTACGACGAAGTGCAGCGTACGCATGGGTCCTTCACGTTCCGTCGCAATGAGTTGCCCAGACCTACGCAAGCTTGACTTCGCGCCGAGAAAAGGAATCAAACGAGGATGAAAAGCAATATTTGATCCGGCCTGAAGAGGTCCCCAACCATGGTGTGAACAACGCGGGTGGTTCAGTTCAAGCCCCACCCGTTATCTTCGCTCAGCCGGAAGATCTTATCTTCATCGACGCCACCTTCGGATGAACGACTGCTCTTTACTTTTCTGGCGAACACCCAGCGAGGGTACGTGCCTCCAAGTAATATCGTTGTAGTTTTCGTTGTCATATACGGCCGGCGCTCGCAGGTTCTACCTACCTGACGGCCTTACCGCCTTGCCGCTCTCAAGAGCTCCGAAGCGGGGACAAATTACTCAATTACTCGCTGCCGTGCACAACTACGGTTGAGATTGTGTATCGCGACAAGACAGGTGTTGCTGTTTTCCCCTCAGCTCCGGTAGTATCTTCATGAGCAAGTCCACAAGTATCGTTATCACCCCATTTCTCCGGGCTTGTAATCCCCGATCCAGCTCTAAGTTGCTCCCGGGTCACCACCTTGACCACCGGGCCGCCTGGTTCTTGTTGAGCTACATTTTCATGTCGGAGGGAATTAAATGCGACATATCATCGCGTCCTCTGTCGTATCACGTGTGCCTGTTCTGCTGCGAACCCTGGCCCAAGTCAGGCGTGGTTTCCCACGTTTAAATTCTACACGTTGACAATGCATTTTTCAGGCGCGGTCTCATCCACACGCACGTCCTCTCGCGTGTTCTAGGCACTTCGACCCCGAATACATTATTTCTTCTTCTTTTTCCCGCCACCGCCCTTTTTCTTTTTCTTCTTGGCCGCCTTCGCAGCGACAGAGATGGCCTTGTCCTTGTCCGCCGTATCCTTCTCCGCGAGCACCTTCAGTTCCTATTTGGCAGATGAACGCGCGAACTTTGTTGTCAGATAGTTACCGATTCTTCAGTGGAAAACTGTAGCCGTTGGGCAGGGAGTTACGACAACGAGACAGAGTACTGGCTTGAGAACAGCATACAAGGAAACGTAGGTACCTTTTGGAACTCCTGGAGCTTCTTGCTGCCACGCTCCACCAGCGCGGGGTTAACGCCCTGCGTTGACAGGAGAGGGAAAATGGAACATCTGCCTGTTGAAGCGACAAATATTGTCTAAACCTGAACAAAGATGAGCTTGCTTAAGCAAACAACGCTTGACAGCGTCTTTCAGTCTCCACAAACACCGCCCTCCCGCCCGATGCCGCGTTTGGTAGTTTTTCGAGTTCAAATTCAAAACCCTAACGACGGAAGCACACGGGTCAACCATGTCAACCGCCACTGCATGCCCATTACTGCTGCGGTGCAGGTTACCAAGGTGGGATTCTGGCACAGGCACCTGTGAATCAAACCAGGCGCCACGGTGAACAATAGCTGTTCGATTGATGACATGTTCTTCTACTCAAGGGACCCGGCGTCCATGGGTTTTTGCCAACCTAAAGGGTTGCGATAATTCCTGTTGTTCGGATGTTGTCTCTCTTGAGCGCGAATGCATTTCGATCACTCCTTGTCCCACCTCCCCTCCGACCAGAGCTTCCGACATCCTCTTGCAAGCGGCTGAGAGAGCCCTGAGCGACTTGGACGGCACCCAGACGTAGTCCATGTTTTTCCCGTCGGCGTCCACCGGGGGCAGCGGGAAGCCCTCGTGTTCTTCGATGTGGCCGACGTCTTCGGGTTGCCAATAATCTTTCGGCATCGGCTGGGTTTGGGGCCGCAACGAGCGGTACAGGCGTGTGTTACTATCAAATGTGCGGGTTTACATTTCCCTACCTGCATCTACGCACAATTCCAGCCTAATGGTTGTCACGCGTGCGTAAGCACGCTCAAGTATAACACCCCAACTCACATCAATGGGGAGTCGCACGGTGGGGAAGCCCGAGATGGCCTTGCTAATCTCCACCTCAGTCGTGAGGCGCTTCAAGAGTGTTCGGCAGTCCTGCACCAGCTGTGGGTGCGCCTCGACCTTGGCTGCCTGCCATGCGCCGAGCAATTAGACAACGGAAGCAACAACATTTTAATGTTCTAGCAGATCGGTGATCCGCACGATGGGGAAGAAGCGCACAATAACGACTGTCGTGGAAGGTGAAATGTCAAGACACTGATTGACGGCGGCGAACAGATGGGGGGACGTGCGTTCGGATCTTACGTTAACTTGTTTTTGTGCTGAACATGCGCTGCCCGTCGTTAGGTTACGGGGATGGATAGGAACTTGCGGGGTAGGATAGAGACGACCCGCCCCTTCTTCCTCGGTATATTATCAACGCGAGTCGTACCCAATAAAACAACGTCCGGCGGCCGCTGGCCTTTGGCTTCGTCCTGAAAGAACTCGGCAGCAGTAAAAGAGCTTGTGGGTGATATTTCCTCTGCGATCCTCCTGTACTTTTGCAGATCCATCCCAGACGCCTTCTGTGGTCACACACGTTAGCCCCATCCAAGAAAAAATTGAAATACGCCGGCCTTTGGGCTTGCGGGAAACATGAACATGTGTCCCAAAACCATGTTTGAATTACACGAAATCTCTACGTGGACGTATCATGTCCCGAGGTGCTGTAAGGTGCGCTGCTGACGCTATGGTTCCCTTCCCCGTCTCATGAAAAACTCGCCGAGCAAGCACATTCACGAGCCAAACCCGGAGTCGGCCATACCTTGTCGATGCGCGCCTCGAGCTTGGCCATATCTGCCATGTGCCGAACCTCAGCGCATTCGACCTTGAGCAGGCGCTGCGCCGACACCTGGAGCCAGTACTCGCCGTGGCTCTTGTCCACCAGAGCCTGCTTGACATCAAAAATAAATACGCGCAACGAGGGCGTCGGTGTAGACTCTATTTATCCACGATCATGTCCGTTTCTTTGGGCCACAGCCGGCGGTTCTCCTTCTAACAGCATTCGTCGAAAATCACTCCCCCAAACCAGGAAGAAGCGGCAACCTGGTTGCTGAGCTCACGAGGAGATTGGCTTGTATTACATCGCTGCCAAGCGACGAAAACCCAACCCCGACGGCAAACACCGCAGGGGGCGGCTTGCTTTTCAACGTCGTTGCCAAGCGACGAAAACCCAACCACGATGGCAAACATCGCCGGAGGGGGGAGGCCATGTTTGCCATCGTGGTTGGGTGTTCGTCGCTCGGTAACGACGTTGTAAAACAAGCCGCCCTCCTGGTTACATTTTTTTTTTCATCTCTTTTTTATTGGCGGTAACCATGATGGTGGTCGAGTAGATCTGGTTGTGCGGGGTGGAGAACCCTCACTCCGCGCAAGGGGGATGATCGCACCACGTCGTGTTAAAATGGTCGAGCACCCTCGAGGCAGTTACACTGTGCTTATGACTGTCTCTGGAAGTGAAAGCACCAGAAAATAAATTAAGTCATACGC